TGAATGAGTTTCAATTAAAAAAATGGCTAAATGATTAATAAAATAAATTGAAGTCCCTATAGAGAAATCATTCTCTTCTCCTTCAACAGTGTCAAACATACCATCACAGAAAAATATTGTAGTAGAATTAATTTGATTCTATTGAAGATATTATAATGTCTGAATACTCTTTTGAACTTGTATTGGACACAAAAAAGATCTATAATTGCAACTAGAGTTTATGTCTAATTGTGTTGAATATGAATCTATGCTTATGTTAGAATTTGTTCTTGAAATCGAGCCTATACTTGAGCAAGAATTATAACTTGAATTTTAAGTTGAATTTGATATCTCGTTTGAAGATAGATCTCAACTAGAAAATGAGCGCTTAATTGATATTGAACCTAAATTGCAATTAGAACCTAAATATAATCTTGAGGATGAACCTAGACTTCCCATAGGAACTATTGAATATAAAGCTAATTTTTATTGGACATTAAATCTATTCCTAAATAAATCATGCACGTTATAGTTGATGAGTCTAATGACCAAATCAATAAAGTGAATCTTGACTTTGAAAGTAAATGATTCATGCCTATTTAAGATAATAAATCAATTGAACATATTGATTTAACTTTTGATGAAAATTTTAACAAAGTTAATTCTACCAAATAAGTTGAAATTTTCTTTATTTTTGGTTCTTGATTCCTTGATTTCCAAACTTATAGAGAGTGACTTTTGGGGAAAAAAAATTCCATTTACAACAATATTATAAGCAATAGTCATTGATAATCACATTAAAGAAAACATGAAATTTAACTTTTCATCAATCTGAACAACTCTAAAAGTGTATACTTAAATCATACTAGTATTTAGGTCACTTGGATTAGCTTTTTCTTTTTTAAGGAGCTTTTTTGTCTTAGAAAGCATTTCATATTTGTGTGGCTTGTATGCTTCAGTTTTCTTTATTATCTCAATTTATAATATTATGTTATGAATCATTATTATTAGGGCTATAAATGAATCGAGCGTTCGACCGCTACTAGTAGCTTGGCTTGTTTTAGCTTGTTCGTGTTCGTCTGATTAAGTAATCAAATAAGCTTGAACAAATATGTGCTTGACTCGTTTATTTTCATTAACAATATTATTAAAGCTGGTGAACATGCTCAGTAATAAGCTCTATAAGAAGCTCGATTCATATTCGATAAGAGATCACAAACAAGCACGTTAAGACACTCGATTAGTGTTTGATATGGGATCAATTAAGTTTAATATAAATATTTTATATTTGTATTAATTTAATAATATAATAATAAATAATTGATAAATTTTAAAAGTAATTAAATATTATAGTATCTATTAATTAATCTATCACATAACAAGCCCGATGCATTCCTCCACTTCAACCATCCAACTTGAATTCTGCTGATAATATCCCATAAATTACAACTATTTAGTAATTAGGAAATATGTAAAGAGGCCCATAAAGAGTCTAAGAAAGCAATATGCGAGGCAAATTTTTTAGCTTTTAATGATTTTATATAATATATTAGATGCTAAGGAGGGCGAAAGATATATGTATAAGTTAGCCAAACATAGAGATAAGAGTAGTAAGGATTTAGTTTATGTGAAATGTATTAAGGATGAAGATCAAAAAGTGCTTTTATTAGAAGAGCATATTCAACAAAGGTGTATGAGATATTTTTATAAATTGTTCAATGAAGATTATGCGAATGCGATTGACTTTAGTGACCTTAGCTTCCTAAATGAAAATAAAGATTTTTGTTTTTATCAGCGTATCTATAAAACCGAAGTTAGAGAAACTTTAAAGAAAGTAAAGTGTGGAAAAGCTGTTGGACCTGATGATATTCTAATTGAGGCGTGGAATGCTTAGGAGATGAAGGAATTTCTTGGCTTACTAAACTTTTTAATATTATTTTGAAGACTAAAAAGATGCCAGATGAGTGGAGAATGAGTGTGTTGATTCCTATTTTTAAGAATCAAGGTGATGCACAAGATTGTGCGAATTATAGATGAATTAAATTAATGTGTCATACTTTAAAATAATGGGGGAGAGTTATGGAGCATAGGTTGCAGCGTGATACTAAATGTTTCTCAAAATCAATTTGGATTCATGTCAGATTATGGAAGCTTTTCATTTATTGAGAGGTTTGATGGAGAAGTATAAAGAGAATGAGGATCTACATATGATTTTTATTGATTTAGAGAAATCATATGATAAAGTTTCAAAAGAAGTGCTATGGAGAGCTCTACATAAGAAATGATTAATAATGCTTATATTCAAGTTATTAAGAATATGTTCTCACTAGACATTTGCAAGAGGTTGTATCCTGGTGTATGTTTTTTGTTGATGATATTCTTCTTGTTGATAAGACTAGAGAGGGAGTTGAAGGTAAACTTGAATTATGGAGGTCAACCTTAGAGTCTAAAGGCTTTCGTTTGAGTAGATTTAAAACTGAATATGTGGAGTGCAATTTTAGTAATAATAGTTATTGTGAGGGGATTGTGACTTTGGGTGATTTAGTTATTAATAAGAGTACATGTTTTTGATATCTTGGGTCTATTGTTTAGATTGATGGTAAAATATATGGAGATATTATTAGTAGAATTCAAGTTGGATGGTTGAAGTGGAGGAATGTATTGGGCTTGTTGTGTGATAGAGAACCCCCCCCCCCCCCCCAAACTTAAGGGAAATTTCTATAAGAAGGTGGTTAGACCTATAATGCTTTATGGTGCAGAATTTTGGTCATTAAAAGAGAAGCATAATATTATGTTAAGTGTTGCAAATATGAGGATGCTCAGGTGGATGAGTGGCTTTATCCTTAAGAGATAAGATATGAAATGAGCATATACATGAAAAGGTTGGAGTAGCTCCAATGGAAGATAATATTAGAGAGAGTCGCCTTAGATGGTTGGTTTGGTCACATAAAACAGCGGCCTTCCGATGACCCGATTAGGAAAATAGATGTATTAGATTTGACTTATGTTAAGAAAGGTAGAGGTAGACCTAAAAAGACTTGGTTAGAAAATATTAGGAGTGACCTCTTTGTTGAAGTTGAAATACTCATTTTCTTCACAAACGGAAGTCATGCTTACAAAATTGTTACCTCAACGAAGCTCCTAAAACAAAGGGGCGAAATGTTTGGTTAAAGAATTGGTGTTCTATTTTTATGCTGCTCATTTTATTGTTAGGAGCTTTGAGGGAATGTTTCCCATTCAAAATCATGAGAATGAACAATAAATACTCCAAAGTGGCCACATAGATTGCTTCCGCCACATGCGTCTATATTACAAACTTAAGAGATGGCGGAAGCATACCTGTTAATGGCGAATGGCGCACCATGGCGCAAAGGTCCATTTGGAGCCATGGCGCATAGCGCACGGCGCGGCGCGCGCTATTTTGAACATGGCGCAAGCTATATAAAAATTATAAAATAATAAGCATGAATATGAAATATTATTAAAAATGAAAGACAATATATCATAATAATAAAATACAACCATAACATATATAAGTTCGACTAAGTAACATTCAAATATCTCATAATTCAAATATTACAATCTTTTTTTTAAAAGATCAAATAAGAATTTAATCTACTCTTCTTGAGAATCATCATCATCAGCAAATGTTAAAAAAGCTTCATTATCTTCTTCAACATTGTCTCCTACTTCATAATCCTCTTCATCACCCTCGATACCACTACTTCATAATCCTATAAGAACTGAATCTGACTTTTTATGATCACCTAAAACCAAACAAATTTTGATAAAAGAAACATAATATTGTCCAAGAAACATAATATGGGGGCTGCCGGGGGTCCAAGGGAGCGCTGCCCCCTGACAAGGGGTTTGCCCCCGGAACAAAATTTATTTGTAAGAGAAATTTTGAAGTTCGTTTGTATGGAAATTAGGGAGCGGTACCGAGCATGTACCTAGTTGTACTAAGCTATACTGAGTGGTACAAAGCATGTAACTAGCGGTACCGAGCATGTACCGAGTGGTACCGAGCATTTACATAGCGGTACCGAGCATTTACATAGCGGTACCGAGCGGTATCATGCATATACTTAGCAATACCGAGCGTGTACCTAGTTGTACCGAGCTGTTACGAGTGGTACAAACCATGTACCGAGCGGTACCGAGCATGTACCGAGCGTGTACCTAGTTGTACCAAGCTGTACCGAGCGGTACAGAGCATGTAACTAGCGGTACCGAGCGGTATAAAAAATATTCATAAGTATACAAAAATTTAAAAATAATTTGGCGCGCTATTTTGCGCCGTGCGCAATGCGCCATGGCTCACATGTGGCGCAAATAGCGCGCGCTATTTTAAACACATGCGCCTCGCCATGAACATGGCGCCGTAGGTGCGCCGCGCCGCACCGTGCGCCATGGCGCGCGCTATTTTGCGCCATTGACAGCTATGGGCGGAAGGATTAAAATATTAAGGATTTGAAAAATTGAGGGACTTAATCGGACGCCTAAAAATTTGTGGGACTATATGACTCTAAATGGACACCTTTAAAACTTTGGGACTTAAATGGACATATGCTATCTGTCTAAGGATTACATTGATCATTTACTCTATTGGACCCTTAAGGATTTATTAGTAGCCTTTATTTATAACATTTGTGGTGCTTTATTATATATTGACATTGATTATGTCCTTGTCCTCCTGACCCATAGATTGTCACCACTTCTCTTTTTAGAATACTCTCAACATATATTACTTCTAAATATTGCTCGAAGTACAAAAAAAGATATTATATATCTTATTTTACACCGTTTATCATCATTTATCATTCTTCCATGTCGAGCCATGTTCAGTTGATGTATAATGCCCGACCTTTGTATGCTAAACTTGCTAAACATGCCTTGGGGGGGCTAATGCTTGGTAACGGAAAAGAAAATCTCATTTTCATTTGTATTCAAAGCCTACTATTGTATGTACATGTCTGTACGATACCTGTTTATTTTATATTGTATTTCTGGGTATGTAGGTACTACACGGATCCTTCTGGTACATTTTGGCAATGCAGTGCAAAAGCTATAGGCTCTGGTTCTGAAGGAGCTGACAGCTCCTTGCAGGAGCAATATAACAAGGCAAGTTATAATGTTCTAGCAACTCTGTTATTTTTCTTAGCATTTGTTATTTTTAGAACTGTCTGAAGTTGAATCACTTGGGCTACTACGCCCTTTCAAAATGACATTTGTGCAGGAAATGACTCTCGAGGAAGCTGAAACAGTTGCTCTTTCCATCCTAAAGCAAGTCATGGAGGAAAAGGTAAAGATTGGCTCTAAGATTCATTTTCCATCCTGCTTAGTGATTCCTTGCTCAACCATATTGATATGTTATGAATGCTTCTATGTTTAGGTGACTCCAAACAACGTTGACATTGCTAAGGTTGCTCCGACTTACCACCTTTACTCTCCATCTGAGGTTGAAGCTGTTATCAATCGCCTCTAGAGGTGTAACTGCTACTTCTGAAATTATGCTTTCTTCCCCTAAACAACTTGAATGTAACGGCTTGGTGTGTAGACGTTCTTTGAACTTAATATATTGTTTAAGGAGTCTTTTTCTCTTCTGTAGCTCTATCTATTTATCTCCCTAGCACAAAAACGTTAAGCAACTTCATTGTTTAGTTGTGATTGCTTTGCAATGATAGGGAACTTAACCCTAGTTTATATTAATCCATTTTGTCATTTTAAACGTTTGATTTGGGCAATTTAATTTATAGGACAAGGAATGGACATAATTATGTGAATTTTGTTTAGTATACATTTTAAATTTTTTGATTTTGTTGACTATTGTTTTTCCGACTTCTTACCACCCCATGGCATAGCGAGTAGCTTGCAGGTTTAGAACAACCAAACATTGCTGTGGTTTATTTCCAAACAACTTTGAGCACAAATGAGCTTTCTAGATAGCCTAATAAAAGAATTATATTCCTGCCAAAGCCTTATTATTAATAGCCATTGCACCTAGTTTATTTTGAGCAACTGAATTGAAAACCTCTGAAATATTTTGCTTTAAGTTGGCCCTGCTATAGATGTCGTGAATCTTTTCCAAAATTGTATACTGACACTAACAATGTCAGATGAGTGGAGAATGAGTGTGTTGATTCATATTTTTAAGAATAAAGTTAATGCATCAGATTGTGCGATTTATAGAGGAATTAAGTTATTATTTCATACTTTAAAATTATGGGGGAGAGTTATGGAGCATAGGTTGTGGCGTGACACTAATGTTTCTCAAAATCAATTTGAATTCATGCCAGGTAGGTCTACTATGGAAGCTATACATTTATTGAGAGGTTTGATGGAAAGTATAGAGAGAATAAGGAAGATCTACATATGATTTTTATTGATTTAGAGAAAGCATATGATAAAGTTCCAAAAGAAGTGCTATGGAGAGCTCTACATAAGAAAGGGGTTAATAATGCTTATATTCTTAAGTCATTAAGGATATGCATGCAGGAGCTATTACGTGTGTTCAAATACAAGGTTGTTTGACCAAGTATTTTCCTATTTCAGTTGGATTACATCAAGGATCAGCCTTAAGCCCGTTTCTTTAGCTTTAGTCATGGATGTTCTCACTAGACATTTGCAAGAGGTTGTATCCTGGTGTATGTTTTTTGCTGATTATATTCTTCTTGTTGATAAGACTAGAGAGGGAGTTGAAGGTAAACTTGAATTATAGTGATCAATCTTAGAGTCTAAAGGCTTTTGTTTTAGTAGATCTAAAATTGATTATATAGAGTGTAATTTTAGTAATAATAGATCTAGTGGGGGGATTGTGACTTTGGGCAATCAAGTCATTAATAAGAGTACACATTTTAGATATCTTGGGTCTATTGTTCAGAGTGATGGTGAAATAGATCGGTATATTATTAGTAGAGTTCAAATTGGATGTTTGAAGTGGAGGAATGTATTGGGCGTGTTGTGTAATTGAAAAGTCCCTCTCAAACTTAAGTGAAAATTCTATAAGATGGTAGTGAGACCTGCAATTCTTTATGGTGCAGCATGTTGGCCATTAAAAGAAAAGCATGATATTAAGTTTAGTGTTGAAGAGATGAAGATGCTCTGGTGGATGAGTGGCTTTACTCTTAGAAAAGAGCATATACGTGAAAAGGTTGGAGTAGCTCCAGAGGAAGATAAGATTAGAGAAAGTTGTTTTAGATGGTTTGGTCACATAAAACGGCGGCCTTTCGACGACCCGGTTAGGAATGTAGATGTATTAGGTTTGACTTATGTTAAGAAAGGTAGAAGTAAACCTAAAAAATTTGGTTAGAAAATATTAGAAATGACATTTCTTAATTAGATTTACCTGAGTATTTGACTCGTAATCAGAGGCAATGGAGAAAAAGGATTCATGTGGCCAACCATATAGTGGGATAAAAAGGCTTGTTGTTATTGTTGTTGTTGTTTACACTAACAATGTCAGACTTTGTTTTTTTACATTAGTTAAGGTTAAAAAAAGCACTAGATTTTAATCATAAAATTTTGGTGCATTTTCTTGCCATTTAAAGCATTTTTTTTACTGAGTAGGCCATATTGAGAGATTGAGTGACTGCAATAACAGATTCATTTTATTATTTTAGGATGGCCGGATGCTGGAAATGGTGGGGGCAGCGGCTAAATATATGGTTCAAACTTTATTTAGTATTTAGTATAAAGATAAAATCAATGGAGTTGTGGCATGCAAAATCATTATTCTCAGCAGCCATTATTCTGTGGAAAGTTTGATTCTATGAGTTTGATGATTGATGTACATGCTAAGAGCTTGGCTAAATTAGACATAGTAGGCATAATTAATATGGACTTGCTGCAACAAGCCTTGCTTTAGCAACAAGGGGCTTTAGGAAATATTTGATAAATATAATCTTACTCTACAACATGAGGTACTTTTTAGTAGTTAGAATAAGTAATTTTCAAATCCAATCATTACTTTTATAGGAAATACTTGAATATTTCAAGTAAATTCTAACAAAGATAGAGAAAAACAACAAGCGATTCACACAAAATTTGATGGAAAACTCTCCAAACATTTTTTTATTGCAAAGGAGAGAACTAACGGAAACAATGAAAGCAAAGATACAATTGATCTTCAATCCGAGAAGAGGATCGTTCTCTCCCAATCTCTAGACGAATCTAGAGCCCAAGACACCAAAAAGAAACTCCATCAAGAACACAATAATCAAAACATAACCCTAACCCTAATTCCCTCATCTTACTTAAAGCGTACAATTAATTAATTAAGCCTAAATTACTAAGGAGCCCTTGCAGGCCCCTCCTTTGCCTCCAAGGAGTTTGAATTTGAATTCTTAGTGGACCCCACTCCTCCCTCTCTCTCTCTTTGTCTCCGCCCCTCCTGGAATAAACAAAAACTGGTCCCCTAGGGACCGGTTGTGATTGGACCGTAGGACTGGTCTAACATACTTAAAAAAACCCTAACTATTGTTTTAAGAATTCTAATTTGTTGAGCATTATTTACAATCTCATTTCTTGTACAAACTAAAGATTAGAGCATAAGATAAACTGATCAATATGAGTGTGCCTGTTCTCTGATGGTTGAGAAAAAAACTATCAGGTGTCAACCTCTTTAATTTTGATGTCCATTTCTAAACTCCTAACTAAAGAAACAAAGATAATATGGCAAACTCAAAATTCTGACCACTTCGTGCTGAACTCATCCTATAATTAAGACTGACATCAACTCAATCCATTTTCAACCCAAATGAACAAAATTGTAAAGCAAAATCATCAATCCTTCTTAACAATAACACTACAAAACCTCCTTCATAATTCAGAGAATGGTATTCATTTAGGGTAGGTAAAATGGGTTTTCGGATCAGGTTTGGGTTCAATCTAGAATTGACTCGATTTAAAGGTTCGGGTTCAATCTGTAATTGACTTGATTTCAACTCATTTGACTCGAACTTGATCCGATTAGGTAAATAGGTCATAAGCTTGGACTTGAATTTGACATGGTTCAACTTGATGTGATACGACCCAGCCCATTGATTCTGTTGAGTGCGATGGGCGAGCAAGCCGAGCGCGAGTGCGACGGATGAGGGCAACGACGACGAACTAGCACGACAATGACGATGGAAGAGTTTGAGTTACTTTTGGATTTTCGGGTTGACCTCAACCCAACTCGAAATTACAACTGGATCAGAATATGAAACTTGAACCTGACTTGTTTTCAAAATGAGGTGACCCGGATCCGAAATTTTTAGGTCAGATTCGTGTCGATTTTTTTAAGTTGTGTCAAATATTGACACCTCCTACTTCAATGTTTAGCATTAGATAATGCTAGTTTTGTGAAAGGTTGAAATTCTAAAATGTTACATAAGAAATTTTTTATCTTTTTTTCTTACTTGGCCACAAACATGTGGCATTAAAATAAAATGTGTCTTAGAAAAGCACACCAAGCCAAGATAAGGCTGGTACACCTTAAGCTGTTGGACTATTAGGGTACTAAGTAAAATAAATACAAGATTTGATTTTTTTTTTAAACAATTGATATAAAGTAAAATTGATGTAAAATAATTCTGTTCACTATTTCAAATAGATTACAACACCAGTTTTCAATTTCTTTTAAAATAACATAAGTTAGGTGGAATCAAAACTCCTCATGTATTGCGAAAGAACTCTCGCAATTCTCCTTCATGGCTTCGTGTGTTCCTCTCGTATGTCCTCATATGTTTTAATTTTTCAATATTAAGATTTCGTTTGGGACAACTTTCGTATTGCTTTCTAAAATGACTTTCTAATACAAAAATTTCAAATTCAAGAAATTTTTGTACTAAAAAGGTGTTTTAAAAAGCAAGAAGAAAGCCGTCCCAAATGAAGCCTGAGTGTTAGCTCAACATTCTTTAGATCTAACCAAACAAGAAAAAAATAATAGCCCTAAGGGGCTATTTGGTTGCCTAAAAAAGGAATAATTTGGGGTTGCTTGAACGAGTGTAACATAAATTCTGATGAATACCATTTTTATTTGATTTAAAGTAAAATGAATATAGTATAAAATTTAAAGATGACGGCGATCGGTGGACGGCGACGGCAGCGTTGGTCGCTGGTGGGTGATTGTACCAAACTTTTCAAAATCCTTACATTAGCTTTACGTCCGTTTTACTTCAAACTGAATAGCCCTTAAGAAAATCACTGCATTTATGTACAAGCATTCTTAAAATACATGAATTATGAATATTTAAATTCCAATCAAGCAAGTATTAAATTTCAGCTTACGTTGAAGAATTTCTCTTTAACATGATCTTTCAAGTCCTAATCCTATATGGCTTTACTTTCTTGGCTTCATCGTCACTTGTCATAATTCGCAAGACATCCCATAGGATCTTATTCTTGGAGAAATTATTCTGTGGACATCTGATCATTCGGAGTCAAATCAGAACACATCACGTCACCCGGCACAAAGCGGTGCACAATTGCGATACAGAACAAATAGGTGACGTGACAAGTTTTGATTCACCTCCGGACGACGTCTATATCCGCTCAGAATAATTCGCCTTGTTCTTGACCCGCAATATACCAACATGACTATGATCTCTATGGTATCTAAAAAAGAACAATATGTTTTATTTTTTAGCCGAACAAATAAATAATTTTGTAAATTTGTTTATAACTAATCAAACAATTAAAAAAGATACAAAATATTTAATTATATTATATTTTAGATACATATTTATATTAAATATTTGCAATCCAATAGCCCATTAATTAAATTCCTCGTCTTGAGATAGGAGAAAAATTAAAAGAAAAAAATCAATGTATTTTTATCAAAGTTTTAATGAAAATAAGACAATTTTTAAATTTTATTTTAAATAAATATGTAACATAAATAGTTAATATTAAATTATTCTTAATGTAAATTTAAAATTTTAAATCTCATCCTAATTATTTTTTTTATCAGAATATTTGAGAGAAATTTTTTCCAAGCAAGAAAAAAAGCTAGTGAGATCTCTAATCCCAGGTGCGCACCGGCGAACTCGCGACGCCTGCGGGCTGGAGGCGGAGGAGGGGAATGGCAAGGTGAGTGCGTGAGTCGTGACGTTGAATGGGTACCGGACAACCTCAAACTAGACCGGCAACCGCTTAGCGTGACGCGGTTGACGCCGAACGGGGAACGGGAGGCCAGAAGAGGAGGGGTTGGCCGGAGCGCCGCGTGGTGGGTTTTGAAGATTTGAAGGCGCTGGTTCATGAGAGATCACCATCGAACAGGTTGTTTGCTCTTCTTTATCATATCCTCTTTTAAATTTTTCTTTGCTATCGATCTTTCTACTTGGAATAACAACAGTGAAGACCTGTACCGTAAGGATTTGATCGGCGGAGATTTACTTTACTCTTTCTTATTTTTTGGAACCTAGAAACCCTAAGCCCTATTTTTTAATTAACTTATGCATATAAATCTGTAATTGAAATGGTTTGAGGTGTATTTTCAATTGTCTTGTTTGATCTAATGATCTTACCATTTAAATACTCTTGTTAGTGTCCTTCATTGGAGCTTATTTTTTCAAGTTTTCTACAGAATTGCCAGTTAATTGTTCCTGATGGTTATCAGATGTTTTCTAAGTGTTGCAAATATAAGGAATGGAATCACTCAACGCTGTCGAATTTCTCTTGCTGATGAGATAAGTCAGCCTTCTTTGACAGTTGAAGTAGTTGGCTCATCTTTAGCATGTTATTACAATTCCTCGCAGAGGAGACTGATGAGTAAAAGCAGGAGGGTTCAGGACAGAAGCAAGAATAAAAGGGTTCATGACCTCGAAATCGCTACAGAAAGGTGGAAGGTATTATCAAAGATTTTGTTTATTATGGATGTAATAAGGAAAGAGCCCGAACAAATCATTCCTTTGAGGAACTTAGAACAATACCGACAGCAGATAAATCTTAGCAAACCTCACAGAGTTTCTGACTTTGTTCGAAAGTCTCCAAAACTCTTTGACCTCTATAAGGATAATAGGGGAGTTGTATGGTGTGGCTTTACAAAGAAAGCTGAAAATCTTGTTGAAGAAGAGGGTCGGCTTATTGAAGAGAACACTGAGAAAGCTGTTGAGCATGTCACACGACTGTTGATGATGTCCGTGGAAAAAAAGCTTCCATTAGATAAGATTGCTCATTTTAGAAGAGACTTTGGCTTTCCCTTTGATTTCAGAAGAAGATGGATCCACATGTTCCCTGAACATTTCAGAGTTATAAAAATTGATGGTTCAGAGTATTTAGAATTGAATTCCTGGAATCCTGCTTGGGCAGTTACAGAGTTAGAAAGAAAATACATGCCAGAAAATATGTCTGGGCTTCCATCACCTGGAATTCTTTGCCTTCCTTTTCCAATGAAATTCCCTCCAAATTTCAAGAAAATTTTTAGGGATGGAGGTAAAATTGAGCATTTTCAGAAAAGGTCATACATATCTCCATATGCTGATGCTAAGGGCCTTGTTCCTGGTTCACAGGAGTTTAACAAAAGGGCGGTTGCAGTGATTCATGAGATTTTGAGCTTCACCATTGAGAAAAGACTTGTAACTGATCACCTCACACATTTCCGATGGGAATTTGTGATGCCCCAAAAATTGATGAGGCTTCTTTTGAAGCACTATGGGATTTTCTATGTTTCTGAAAGGGGGAAAAGATTCAGTGTCTTCCTGACCGGAGCTTATGACGGTTCAGAGTTGATTAGGAAATGTCCTCTTGTTCTCTGGAAAGAAAAGATTATAAGTCTGACTGGCTACAGAGGAAGGAAGAGGGGAGTAAAAAATTTTAATGAATTTGTTGATTTTGATGAAGGTGATTTGTTTGATGGTGAGCTTGATGATCAAGATACCATTTCTAATTTTGAAGATGATGAAAGCATAAGCACTCTCAAGGAGCCTACCCTTGCGGAAGACTCAGAGATGGATGTGAGAGATTTGTATGATACATACGGGATCACCTAATCTATTTCAGATTGGCAGCCTTAGTTTGGTACTCTTTTGCTCTTTTAATTTTAAATTTCCGCTTATGGTCTAAAGTTTTTATGGTGAGGCATGTTCTCAATATAGCCTTCGTTTGGGACGGCTTTCTCGCTGCTTCTTGAAGCAGTTTTTTGTACTATAAAGCTGCTTCAAGAAGCATCAAGAAAGCCGTCCCAAACGAAGCCATAGTCTTTGCATACACTTGGCATTGCATCAGGTTTTCTTCTGCTTTCTCTCTTTTTTTTCCTAATACCAAAAAGCACCTTTGAAATCTCTTCAACTCCTCAAACTTACTGGCTCACCTGCTGTCATTCTTGAAGTTATCCTCTTTTGCATGTTTTCTTCGGCTAATAAATGCTCATTTTATGAATTAATGAGCCCAACCTCGTACCATGAAGCCAAAAGGTTTGTTAGTATACCAATTACCAGTGTTTAGACCTCAGTTACACTTTGGAGTTGTGCATATCACCGTTTATGGTGTAAAATGGGAAAATCATGCTAGCTAAAGAAATATAGATGAAAGCATGCTAAAACTGGATGTGTGGATCTATTCTCTTCAGCAAGTAGAGATTTAGATGTGTTGAGTTTTGAATACTATTTATCAATAAAATCATGATTAGCCTATCGCATTGTAATTTTATTGGCTTATTGAAGGAAATATTGAAGCGTAAATATTGCGGATTATAAATTTTTTTCTTCTCCATCTTATATCTCTTTCTATGTTGTATTAGAGACTCCAAACCCTCAATCGTCCCAGATCAAAATGGTATTAGAGTCTAGATTAGAATTAACATGTGATGCAAGACTAAAAATATTTTAATTGCATGCGTTAAGAATTTGCACGATCTCTTGAATAAAACAATTAGGATTAAACTTTTAGCAATCCAAAACGACAAAAGAAAACAAGAGAGGGGTGCCTACGTTTAGGCTAAGTTGCTTGTCAAATGCTTGACTTATCAAAATAACGTAGAATATCAATAACATGCAAATTAAGTAGCTTTCAAACAAAATCCCTACGCTAACAATGAGATTAGAAGCATAGAGGCTAAACTCAATTCCTACGATTACTAGGCTTGACAGAGGCAGGTGAACAAGACCTTCATGACTCAAATCAAATCACAAGAGAGGGTTAAATTACGAAAATACGAGAGTAGGGAGATTGGAAAACCTTTGTCACGGTTTGGATGTAATCCTCCACTGAACGATACCAAGTTGCTCCTCTATGGCTTCGACGAGAGTATCTAGAATGCGCTCCACGTATTCCTCGATAGTGTTGTCGATGTTCGGATTGACATCGAAGAAAGTGGAGTGAAGGATGTGCACGAATCCTTGCTCGTCGTAGGCAAGACCGTAGTCAAGATCGGGATCGGCCATGCATCGATCTTGTTGCGTCGGGGTGTTGAAGGAGGTGGCCCTTTGTTGTCCTTGTTGTTTTCCCTTTGAAAGGAAAGGAATTTCTCTCAAGAATCCCAGTAAGAGAAGGCGAGAGAAGGTAGTCGGCCAACGAGAAAGGGTTAGGGGTTTGGGGTCAGATTTTGGGGAGATTTCAATGGGGGAATTTGTTTCCAACCACTCTCTAATTAATCTCTAGATTGAGAATAACTAAAGAAGGGGAAGGATGATGAGGGGCGGTGGCACTAGAGGGGAGAAAGGGATTTTAATTTAATTCCAAATAGAAGAGAAGATCTTTGGAAAGAAATTAAATAAGCATGGGCATGGGGGAATTTCGGCCAAGAAGGGGTGAGGGAGTTTGAATTGTTTCCAAGAGAGGAGGTGGGTGTTTATGAAACAATTCCTAATTTAAATCACAAAGGGGGGCTAGTAGCTATAGTGGGAGGGAGGAGTTTAATGAGGTCTTTAATACTTAATTAAATTATTGAATTAAGTTTGGAAAGAAATATCTTATCTCATCTTAATTTATAATTTAAATAGGAAGGGATTTAGTAGGTTTTCTAAAATAGGATTTCATAAATTAGGTAACTATTTCAAATTCAAATTGATTTGAATTTAATCATAAATAGAGTTACCAAAATTATGAGATCTAATTTAGGAAAGGTGTGGTGGCATGTGGGGATGGGGAAGAAGCCAAGGGTGGTCGGCGGTGGGAGGGTTTGGCCGTAGAGGGGGGATGGGGTGGGAAGCCTAGTCGGCGAGTAGTGGTGTGGTCTAGATGGCCGGCGACTTAGGGGTTCGGGAGAACTCATGGCCGGCGGCTAGGAGATGAATAAAGGACGACAACGAGATAAAGAAGAAGAACCACGAACCAGGCCGTCTCCAAGGTTGGTGGGTGATCCAAATTCTCTCTTCTATGAATCTCTCTCCAAGTACTCTCAAGATCTCTCAAAAATACAAGCAATGGCAAAAGTTTTTTTATCATTCAATCATACCCTTAGAAGAGAAACATGAAGGCTATAAATAGCCTCGTATAAAAGGACTCGAAGAAAAAGGACGATAGTGCCCTTATGGCTTACATACGACCTCCCTTAAATAAGGGGTAAAATAGAAAAAAAAAAATAAATGCAACCTAAATAACAAAAGATATAATAAAACAAATACATGAAATGACTCAAAAATACATCGACTCGATCGTGGCCGTAGATCGATGGCCACTCATCTGATATACTTTCCAATCTCTGATGTCCCTATTAACATGTCACTTAAGAAGTATAATGAATTATGCGAGTTAATTGACATTTCAATCCAAATTAGAGCTGCAAGTGCATAAATGCACTTGAGATCAAACTATCTTTTGAAGAGTGTTAAACATGTTTGCTGCCCTTACATTTAAAGCAACATTTGTTTTTGCTAAAATTGGTAGTAACTAGTTGATTATAATTTTTTGTTTTTGTTTTTGTTTTTGTGTTTTCATCTTGAATCTTATCTTAGATTGTAGTGGAAACTCTAGACTCTTAACTATCCCACATAAAATTGAAATTAGAGCCTAGTTTAGTGTCAACAAGTCTCTTAAAAAGTTGAGCTATTTATTTGGGTCAATTGACATATCAGTGAAAGAGAGGGTTGTAAGTGAACTGATGCACTTGATGAATTGCTTGAGCTTGGCTTGAGTAATACTCACTCAATTTCGTTCAAGTTAATGATTGAACAAATCTAATAGTTTATTTATTAAAAAAAAAATCTTATTTACTTTTTAAAACTTTATCTTTGTTTCATTGGTATAGCTCATACATTATTCAATTAATTTTTTTAAAAATATAAATTGTTTGTTGATGAAATATTATATGATTATTTATTAGATTAGGTTTCTTTGCCTCTTATTTTCACATATTGTTTTTCATTGTTGTTGCTTTCAATCTCAACTCTCCAGCTATATGAATGAGGTCACGAGAGCTTCATTGCTAGGTCGGACTTTTCAGGATTTGGCTACATTTGATCAATGATTTATGAAAAGATTTGGTATTATTATCTCATCTATTAATTAACTTATAGAGGGAAGCTTTTTTTTGTAACAGTTAGGCCAATTAAGGCATACTTAAACACATATCGCATACACAAGATTCGAACTCAAAACATCTTAGTTGGTAGCCTAAATTCCCAACCAACAGTTCAATATGAATTGTCTTATAGAGGGAAGCTCAAAGTGATAGAATCTACCGAATGTGTGTTTATTAGATTTAAAGAAAAAACAGTGTGCTTTTGTTAAGGTTATTTGATTTTAATATAATTTTTTTTGGCTTCATCTGATGATGTGGCCTAGTAGTTAAGAGAATATAGTCACGATGGACACCCAATCACACTTATTTAAATAAAAAAGTTAAAGATTTGTTTGACATCACTTTTTGTTTCTATTTTTATTTTTATTTTTAAAAAAATTGGATAAAATTTGTTTAATTAGTGTTTTACAAGTTTTCTTCTTTTTAAAAATAGATGAAATTATTTTTTAAAATTGCTTAAAATAAGTTTTAGATATTTTCAATGTGAACAGGAAGTTAATTATTTATTATGGCAAAAGTGTGTGTAATAAATATTTGCTATTTGATAGGAAATACTTGAGTTCGCAAGTAACCCTAAGGTAATACTTGAGTTCGCAAGCAATCCTAACCCAAATCGGAGATCCAACAGCGACAAAGTTGCTGCCCAGAACAAAAAAACAGAAAAGATACAATTGATCCTCAATTCGAGAGGAGGATCGATTTCTCCCAAATCTCTGGCAACGCCAAGAGCCCAAAGAAAACCTAAATCTAAGATATCTCAAATTTCATCCAAATTCAAGATACCCAAACCCTAGGAAAATCAACTATTTAATGCATGCAAATCAAAAGGAAATCCCTAAACAGCCCCTACATTCAAATTTCCCTCTCAAAACTCAAAAAAAAATTCCTAAAATGCTCTAATGGGGCGGACGGGCTGCTCGATCTCCGCAGGAGGCGGAGATCCCGCCGTCTTTGCGAATAGCCGGTCCCATGCGGACCGTCTGGACAGGTCCAGTGAACCGGTTTAACAATACTCCCCTCCCAAAGATCCACCTTATCCGCAAGGTGGAAAGACAACACCCTCCATTCCTTCTTCATCACAAACGATAAGAACCTGAAGAGTTCAGTCCTTACACCTATGTCCCGGCATATACCTCTCATCACATCTGAAACAAAGCCCCTTCGCCCTGTTCTCTTGTAATTCTATCTCTGTGAGCTTCTTGAAGTTGTCCCCAGGTCTTCCTCCTGTGGTATTTTCCTTCGAAGTCCCTCGAAGAGTATCCGGTGTTGGCTCCTTGGATTTCAATAAAGTGGTGGTCATCCTGTACGAGCCTCCTGAGATGCCGCCTCCCGTCTCTCCCTCCAGGTGTCTTTGATCTTCTACCAATTGAGCTAGCTCCATAGCCTCTCCCAAGTCACGAGGCCTCATTACTCTAATCGCTGCTCTGATCTCTGGTCTCAATCCCTTCATGAAGTTTCCCTCTAGCACTGTCTCAGAAAGGTGGTCCAATCGGCTACCAAGGTACTCGAATCTCTCCCGGTATTCCGTCACTGAACGCTCCTGTGTAAAGGCAAAGAACTGCTCGTAGAAGTCTCCTCCTCTACCAGTTCGGAAACGCTCTAACAAGCAATCCTTGAACTCTCTCCAACTTTGTATGGGTCGTCGCATGTCCCTCCACTGATACCAAGACAAAGCCTTCCCTTCTAAACATAGGTCTGCCGCCGTCAATCTTGCCTCCTCTGTCAGCCCATTGACGGCGAAATATCTTTCTACCTTGTAGATCCACCCGTGTGCATCCTCCCCCTCAAAGATTGACATCTTCAGTTTCCTCACCCTCGGGTCACACCCGTTTCCCCTAAATCCTCCATAACCTCCCATTCCTCGAAGCGGAGGTACTCCCCAATTGTCACGATCTTCCCTTCGGCGATCATACCCAAACCATTCATCAAAATCCCCTCTTCTTCTTTCAATATCAGCACCACGATGATCGAAATCATCTCCTCGCCTTACAAATTCAGCACGTCTTCTTGCTTAGCCAATTCTCATCTCCTCCCTAGAAAGTGGTTCTAGAGGCGGCATTCCGTCTTCTCCCTCCAGGATCTCCACTTCTGGCTTTTTCCTAACCCTAGGCGTGTTAGGGTTCTCATCTCTTCCATGGCCTCCTGTAGTTTCCTTTGCTTCTGATATCACCGGTTTGGTTTTGGCTTCAAGCAATTTCTTCAATAA